CCTGCCCCTCCTGACTCCCACCTGCTCTGCCCGCCTGGACCTGCTCTACCCGGTGCCCAGAGCTCCAAGGAGCTGTTCCCTGCCCCTCCTGACTCCCACCTGCTCTGCCCACCCTGAGCGGCTCTACCTGGTGCCCGGAGCGCTGAGGAGCTGTCCCCTGCCCTTCCTGACTCCCACCTGCTGTGCTCACCTGGAGCGGCTCTGCCCTATTCCCTTGAGCTCCAGGGGACAGCTCCCTGGTCCTCCTGACTCCTACCTGCTCTGCCCACCTGAAGCTACTCTGCCATGGTCCCCTGAACTTCAAAGGGCTGCCCTTGGCCTCTCCTGAATGCCACCTATTCTGCCCTGGTCCCCTGAGTTCTGGGGAGTTGCCCCCTACTCCTCCTGAGTCTCACCTGTTCTGCTCTGGTCCCCTGAGCTCAGGGGGCTGCCTCCTGCTCCTCCTGACTCCTACCTGCTCTGCCCACCTGAACCCTCTCTGCCTGGACCCCTGAGCTCTGAGGAGCTTTCCTCTGCTCTTCCTGTCTCCCAGCTGCTCTGCTCACCTGGAGCGTCTCTGCCCTGTTCCCCTGGGCTCCAGGGGACAGCTTCCTTGTCCTCCTGACTCCCACCTGCTTTGCCCACCTGAATCTGCTCTGCATTGGTACCCTAAGCTCAGGGGGCTGGCCCCTGCTCCTCCTGACTCCTACCTGCTCTGCTCACCTGGAGTGGCTCTGCCCTGTTCCCCCGAGCTCTGGGGGGCAGCCCCCTGGTCCTCCTGACTCCCACCTGCTCTGCCCACCTGAACCTGCTCTGCATTGGTCTCCTGAGCTCAGGGGGCTGGCCCCTGGTCCTTATGACTCCTACCTGCTCTGCCCACCTGAAGCTACTCCGCCATGGTCCCCTGAATTTCAAAGGGCTGCCCTTGGCCTCTCCTGAATGCCACCTATTCTGCCCTGGTCCCCTGAGCTCTGGGGAGTTACCCCCTACTCCTCCTGAGTCTCACCTGTTCTGCTCTGGTCCCCTGAGCTCAGGGGGCCCCTACTCCTCCTGACTCCCACCTGCTCTGCCCACCTGAACCTGCTCTGCCCTGGTCCCCTGAATTCTGGGGGTGGTGGTGCTCCCTGGTCCTCCTGACTGCCACCTGCTCTGCTTACTTGGAGCTGCTCTGCCCTGGTCCCCTGAGCTCTGGTCAACTGCACCCCAATTCTTCGCCTTCCTCAACCAAGGTTGTGGCATGTCCCAGGCCACGTGTACCCTCCGTCCCCTCCCAGCACCTTCTGCTAGTTTGAGCTTCATTCCTGCTCTCCTTTCTTTTCTGCTCTGCCTGCCCGTGGGCCGCATGTTCCCCTTCCTTTCCCTAGCCAGCTCTCCTCAGCAGAGCACCCTGTCCCTGGGCTGCTTCCCTCCCTGCGGTGCTCCTGGATCCTGATGCTCACCTTTCCCCTTCCACTATCCAGTCTCAAGGCTGTCCTGGATTCCTCCCTCTTGGTCCCCATGGCTCTGCTTGGTCAGCTACCCCTGCTTGTCCAACCCTCACAGCCTCCCCACAGCTCTCAGGCCTGTGTTCTTGACCCTCCTTTCTGCTGCTGAGAATCTCAACCCAGCTCTGGAGCTGTCCAGGATCCCTGGGTCCTGAGCTACTCCTGCCAGCCCTGGTCCCTGTGCTGTTCCTGTCTCTTCTGCTGCTTTTGGCCTTGGCTGCAGCTGAGGACTCCACAGCCGGCACCCAGACCCTGCCCTGGGCTCTGACTGCTTCTCCTCCCTTGTGCTGTGTCCTCAGTGCTGGCCATGCTGCCCATCCTGGACCTCCTCCAGCTAGGTTCCCAGGGACTTTGCCTCTTCCCCAGCACAGAACAGCCAGGGGCCTGTCTGTCCGGTTGCCTCGATGCCCAGCCTGGTGATCCCTATGGTCTCAGTCAGCCTCTGTGAGCCTGGGATGCCCCAGCCCTGGGTTGGTGCTGTGGCCTGGGGGGAGTCCAATTACCGCATGCTGGCCCTGCCATCTGGGCTCAGGTCTCCTCTCCCTCTGATGGCATGCTGGATGCGCAGTCTTGGAGCTCCCACTGCTGCTGGGGATTCGACTCCTCTCCTCTTGAGCCTTGGCTCCCTGTCAACCCACTCACCGAGATGGGGCTGATCTTGGGGGCTCCCAAGCCCTTCGTGCTCTGGCCTGGCCCATGGGTGTCCTCTGGGACTTGTGCTCTGTGGCTGCTGCTGCTGCGGCTCCCTCGGAGATGGTGGTGCTGGTCCCCAGAGGTGTGAACTCCACCCCCACCCAGCCCCTACAGACTAAGAATGGGATTGAAACCCGTGACATGGTTACTTCCTGAATTTCCCGTTTCTTCTGTGGGTTTCTGTGTCAGAGGGCATGGGGGAAGCCCAGAGGCCATGCATGGCCAAGGCCATTGTATGTGGTGCTCTGTATCCAGGGGAGAAAGTGGTAAGCTGGGCACCACATGCTGCCCTTTGCTCTCTGTCTCTCATTCCTGGGGCTGCCTGCCCTGCCCCGCTGGACACCTTAGGGCCCAGGCCTCAGTACCTGGGTGTCTCACCTGAGCCCTCTGCCCCCGATCATGGTGGCTGCTTCTCCCTCATCCCTCTTCAGCCTGCCTTCCTTCATGTAGGGAGGAGGAGATGTGAACTGCCTGTTGGGCTAGGCTAGTGAGAGGCCTGGGATGGACAAGGGCAGAGACTGAGCTGGTCTCCCAGGCCATGGGCGGGGTTGGGGACTGGCTGTCCAAGGAACAGGTGCTTGAGGGCCACTGTAGGCAGGAAGGTACCTGGGCTGGGGCTTCTGGAGGAACAAGACAGGCTGCCATCTCGGGAGAAGCTCACTCTATTTCTAGGGGTTCAGGGGAAGTGGGGGGCAATGCTGATAGGGAGTGGGGGCAGCACAAGGTGAGTAATCCCGCAGTAGGTCACAGAGGGACCCACTGAGGGCCTGAGCAGGACTGTCAGAGCCTGAGGTGTGGGAACAGAGGGGCAGCCTGGTGGGGCTGCTCGGCTTCTTCTAGGTGGGTGGGTGGG